TATATATATTTATTATTTGTATTACGAATCTTTGTTCCTTGCACGTTGCTCGTAACCTTACCTGACGTATTAGAAAAAATTTACGAATTACAGCGGCTATTACTTCCGCCTCTTCGTAAATCTTCAATCGATCTTGTTAGTATCTATCCTCACTCCTCAGCAAAATATTTAATAAGATAACAAGAAGAAACGCCATATTTACATATAAAAATATATCTTATCGTGATTGATCGATGGATCTATATATAATATACATGTACATATTATACGAATATAGATAAAACTTCTCTTAACATACGCCGCGATTCGTTTGATACGTTTCCATACATCACAATTTTCTTGGTAATCCGATGTAATTATGGTAAGCAATGTATGTAATACCACAGAAGTGGAATGGTCCAATCTGGAGAATGTTCAATATTATTTGCTTCTTGATTTTGCTATAAACTTCTAAACTGCAGTCTTTTTATTAGACCATATCATTCATGATATTGTTATCATGTTTATTAAAAGATTTGAAAGCAAATTATAAATATTTAATTGGTTTTATATATACAGTGTAAAGTTAATTGTTTGTGGAAAAGATACTTCTAAATATATGTGTATTGTATATATTCTATGATAATTACAAAATAATAATATATTAAATACACAAAATCCTAAACAATTAAAATAATTTTTGTAATTGTTACTAAAACTGTAATTGATACCTACAACTATATTGCAAAAGTTTTAAAGAATTAATTAATTCAAGAATTAATTAGTTCATTCTCTATTCAATTATCTTTTTAAGATTCTAAAAACTTAAAATCATAGATCCCTATTTAAATTGTTATTTCAATAGAAATTTTCAAAAATAATTATTATAAAATAATTTGCACTTGGCAGCATTAACTATATAAAAACGGGTCGATTATTTTCTTATATCTCTATCATCTTTGGACATGCTGACATTCTTATTGAACAAAACATGCTTTATAAAGAAGAATGGATTCTGAATGCAATTAAATATTCCGTAAATATACAAGAGGCTACACGCCTTGCCTATTTGTGTGGAAAATTGCATGACTTTCCATTAACTAGGTCGACCGTTTGGTTGCTCTTAGCAAACAAGTAGCGAATCTTTGTTGGCACTTACGTCAATACATACCGCGAATATTGGATAGTCTGCTTTGAATAGTAGAGAAATACGCCGTAACTAACAGGAAGAAAAGAAAAGAAGACTTTTGTGATACTTCCTCGATAAGAAGAAGCATCTTCCTCAGCTAAGTCCAAATTGGACCTATCCTCTTCCATATTCCGTACATGGTGTCCTGAACGCGCTGCATGCGAAAATATTTTCCTTTTTAGAATACTGCAAATGCTATACGAATACTTATTACGCGATATATGTATGCTTGCAGAAGACTAGCAAAATATTTATTTCTCTGTTTATGTTTTATTTTTCCTTGAAAAATTTTTGTCTATATTTATTATAATTTAATTTTCAAAAAGTTTCAGGATAGAAATTTAAAATCGTGTTTAAAAAATTAATGTAAGAAGAAACTTGATATAGCATAATAATTATATATTATAAGCGTTATAAATTTTATTAATACATTAGAAATATGATTAATCTGTTTCTTCAAACATATTTGAAGTGCAAATTTAATCAAATCATTTAATAACATTTTAATAAATCAAATATATTAAAATTATAAATTATAACTTTAATAAATTTTAATACTTTTATTTAATCAAATAATTTACCTTTCTCATAATTTTTTACAGCTATATCATGAAAGCTATATTATAAAAATTGAATCTCATATATTATATTCCTTCAGGACACCCTATACAATTGTATCAGTCCAAATATCTCTTCGGGGTCGTTTGTCGGATTCTATCTATTACCTGGAAGTTATAACAAGGTTGTTTTACTAAGTTTATTCGGTCTGGTCATGCAGACTGTTCATTAGTTTCGCTTGCGTTTCTTCGCATGTATCTCATTCGGCTCCTGTTTCAGGCTCTTTTCCACCCTTTTGCTTCTTGCACAATGTAGCGAATGATGCACAATTAATTCACAATAGTATTTTGAATATAAAAGCACTTTTGAGCTGGGAGTTTCATAAAATAAAATTGCAAGATGGAATAATAGAGAGAAAGAGAGAGAGAAAGAGAGAGGGAGAGGAAAAAGAGACAAGAAAAAGAAAAGAAGATATAAAAAGAATGGCACAGAGAATCTTCGGACACATGGCATTCTCAATTATTGATTGATAAGTAAATCTGCATAAATCAATAATCGCGTTTCTGTATCTGCTTCTGATATTTAAATCGCAAAAGAATTCTTTATTTCTCAAGAAATAATCATGCGAGTTATGTTAATCAAAAAAGAGAAATATTAGTTAATTAGATAATTAATTTTTTGTCATATAATTTTTTAAGAGAGGCAGTGTATTTTATCTTACAATTTAAAATTTAAAAAAAGAAAAAATAGAAAATTATTGACATAAAAAGGTAAAATTATTATGAGAAAATTATTATTTACTGAGACAAGTAAAAATGTTTGCAAATTCATATACTCTTTTTTCCCTTTTAAAAATTTTTATCTTTTTTAAAACGAGAATATAAATTTTTTAACTTCTTATGAAAATGTAATAAATTGAAATATCCTTAAATATCCTTAAATTAAATTTATTAATTCACTTATTAATATTGAAATTTTTTAAGGTTCATATGTTTTAAAGCAACTAAGTATTTTGTATTACAAATCAGAAATAATAATTAGAAAAATATATTCCAATCTTTCTACAAAATTTTATAAATGGTGTATAAATAATAGACACAAAAATTTCAGTATTTATTATTTTAACGTTCTGTGTAAATTTCCAGTTCGTCCAGAAATGTTTTAATTTTCTCGTGTGATTCTCGAAAATTAAAGAACGAAGAAATTAAAGAACGAAAGAACGATTAATATAATGGTTTAATTGGAATTAAATAATTTAATCAGTAGAAAATAGTGGATTGTTGTTTGTCGTTAATTATTTTTTATGTCATTTACTATGTAAAATTCCTTTCACCACAGAAGTCTCTCTTTACAAAACGTGCCGAGTTTCCTGTCGCGATATTTGCTGATACTCAGCACTGTCCTACTTGCCTTTTCTTTTCTGAAATAACGCTTACAATAAAAACTAACATGATGTATATCTAAAGTAAAAACCTCAGGTGAATATTTTCTCGAATGAAGAAAGAATTTTATAATCTAAACATAACATAGTGCTTCAAATTAATTCACATATATCATATTAGTTCAAGTTCACAAATTAAAAAGCATGATGAAAAAGCAATGAATTTTGATATAGAACATATATAATATATGTATATTAAATAGTGAGAGAGAATATTTAAAAAATTCATATTACTTAAGAAAATTTATGTATCATACACAATTTGTTCAGTACTTTAACATTGTACTTTGTAATAATTGAACTTACAATAAACCATGAATTATTATTATTACAACATTTTTAACAATGTAACAGCGTACTCCGCGTTTAGAATATCATGAAAAGAAATTCACTGGGATGACGCCACAGCTTTTATAGAAATAAAAATTTGCTTCGTAAAAAGAGCTCTTTCGTAAATAAAGTTCTGGAGGATCATATATTGTGCAATCTCCATTGGTTTCACCATCACCGCACCCATCTTAGCTTATCAACACGCGAATATTCCTCACCATTAGATAGCGATGAGCAAAGGACGATGAAATCTTCATAGTTTTTCTTGATTTATCTTGATGAAAGTAATCTGTAATTAATAATCTGTACACTAGTGGCCCACTTTAGTAAATTTGTGTTTTAATAAAGACTCTTCTATCCGCCATCCTTCCGAGATCTTTGAGAGTGCCCGTCTTAATTTTCATTGTTCAACACATTGGAATCATCATTACGAGTTTTCAATTTTCAAGCTCTTGGAAATTACATACTCGCACGAAACATGCGTTTTGCACCACTAACATTGCAACGCGAAAAATCGTATGTTTATTGGTTGGTACTGTAGAAACAAGTTCTAATCACGCGATGCATTTTTACGTGCATCGGCTGATCACCAATTGAAGTGATAATGAGTAATACGATGAAGAATATACAATCATTGCAGAGTTGCATCGTTGCATCTGTCCACGCTCGTCAAAAATTTTTCTGATCTGTGAATGCATCCGGATTGAAATAGAAGTTATTGGAGTAATCTGTAACAAAACGATAAATTTGTTTTTATTATTAAATAAGATACGCCATAAATAGTAAAATTATTCAAATCAATAAAAAAATGAATATAATTTATATTGTCCACTTAATTCTTAATTAATTATTTCTTTATAATTATACATACATATTTAATATATAAATATTTTTTTTTTCGAAAGAATCAAGCAAATCAAAATAATGTTAATAATAAAACTTAATTATGTTATTCACAAATAAACAATTATTATAATTAAATACGAACAAACAGCGCCATTTTCTTTTATGGATAGATTTTTTTTATCAATTTAAAGCTAATGTTTCTTGAGTAAATGAATAACATAAATAAAAAAAAATATCGGAATATTCTAACAAGTAACTTGTAAGTATATAATTCTGTGCCTTCTTTTTATTTATAAATTTTTGATATTATTCTTATAAACAAGATTTAATAGTAAAAGTTTCAATAATAAAAGTATAAAAATAAAATCGCAATAAAATCTATTATCTATTTATATTGAAATTTTATTTTTGTAAAGTCAATTTTAATAATTTAAGAAATATCAAAATCGTGACATTTTCTTTGTAAGAAAATTAAATTTAAAGCTTGATAAAAAATCTATGCATAAAAACAGATATGGTAATATTTAAATGAGTTGCATGGTGTAGCTTTTAGAAGAAATACCATTTTACACACACACAGTGTATCGCTTACTCCATCTTCGCCTATCTTGCGATGCAATCATTTGCTTCCCCCCAGGTACAAACCGTGTACTCCGGGCGAATCTTCGTGAGAAAAAAAAAGGTCGTATTACCATAGTCTGGCTCGGCGCATTTGACTCACAGAAAAGGTTATTTCCCTTATCCGTTCCCTTTGCTAGAGATTCGGTCGCGAAAACCGCTGTTTATGCGATCGATGGTAATGTGGGTGCGAGGATGTTACCTATATTTGCTCACATAGTGGATGCGAATTACGTATTATGGCAAGAGGGTGGCGGTGGATGAGTAGCGCTGTATAGTTTAAGTGCGTTTCATTTGAATATATTAATTATTCATTTTACATGCCGTGTGGAAGCCGCGTATCGCGTTAATCCTTGCACGATTACCGAATATGTCGAGCATGATTTTGCGCCGATCACGATTCATCGCTTGCATTTATGCGTGATAAAATAATTTGCACAACGTCGATAGTAAATTTATGTTCCAATTAATGACTTTGATTAATCCTTATATTCATTATTATTTGGAGAAATGCCTATATCATTTCGAAAATAATAGAAATTATTAGATAATATATCGTACTTACAAAATATCAGTAAAAATACAATAAATTACAAAATTTGAAGAGATGGATGAGTCATGTAACCTTTGAATAATATTATGTTCACGCTATTAATACTTCATGTACAATATGTATGTATACATAATATTGATCAATGTTATCAACATTTGTGATTTATAATATAGTAATCTATCATGATCATTGTATATTAATTTCAATTCATAGTTAATAAATGTACATCCAGAGATACATGCAGAAATACAATCTCCACTATTTAATATTATAATTATCTGCTGATTATGTCTGTAGTATACTACTGTAGATTATCAATATCCGTATGTCAAGCCAATGCATTATGAATCGCTTTAAGATGATGCATGATGATATTAACGAATCTGTTTATCAAAAAATCTATATTTATATACAGTTTTATTTATATATTGGGTTGTCCAGAAAGTTCGTGCCGATTTTGAAGGAAAATTGAAACACAGAAGATTTAAATTTTAGTATACATTTATTAAATTTAAATCTTTTGCGGCACGAATTTTCCGGACAACCCAATATAATATTTTTTTATGTATGTTTAGTTCTTCTGTGCACCTATTTTATGTAAATTATTTTTCACAATAAAGCGATATGTAACACATATATCGCTTTTTTACTTTGAAAGTGACTTAAGAAACATGATCTTTTAATTATTACTATAAATGAATTAAATAACATGAGGTCTGTTTACGTGCTTGAAATCTTCTCAAAATTTTTGCGCTAAAAATGAGAAATATATATATTCGGATATTAAAGAGAAAAAAAGCGAAGATACTTAGTGCAAAAAGTGCAAATAAGCGAAGATCTATGATAGGATAAACATTACACTACATTCATTAAAAACAAGCTAAACTTTATAAAAAAAAAACATTATAACGTTAAAATTAAAAAAGTGATTTTTTTTAAGAATTGTGAAAGAAAAAATGACAAAAATGACATTTGATCATATTAAAAAATAATTTTTTTTTCTTTTCTGGGAAATTTAAATATTTTTATTAGATCACTTTTGAAGTAAGAAAGTGATATAATGATTGATATAAATAAAAGTAAATTTCACATAATATGAAAACAGAATATTTGTATAAAATTAATTACGCGAGTTATCGAATCTATAAAAAATATAATACCTAATTAATAATTTTATTTTTATGTATTTTTTTATTGTTACAATTTCCCGATTCACACAAATATCAAATATATAATTATAAACGCTTGCCAGAAGAAACGAATCAATTAATGTAACTTCATTTTTCAATTTAAATTTCATGTTTAAATTTCAATGAATATTTGCGTTCATTTAAATATTATTAAATATGACATTATTATCTACATTAAAGAGTGAGTTTTTTAACATAAAAGGTAATTCGAGATTGAATAGGTTAATAAGCTGTACAAGCAATTTCAGCGTTCCATTCTTCGTGGTTCATCGATGCGTCACTACCGTTATTCCACATCGCTGAAGATCGCTCACAAAATAAGTTGCTCATATATCTACAATATCCACGCAGGTGGAAACCATTTTTGCGCACCACGCTAATGAAAATAATATTTCCGCGAACAAACGCACACATCACCTTTCTGCGTCGGAGAAAATAATACTGATGGGACAAAAATAAATTTCGATTAGCTGTGTTACTGGAACAAGAGGGAAAAAAGGTTGTGGTTCCACACGGAAATGCCGATTGCTGCGACAGATAGGGTGAACAGCTCGCAGTCCGCAGTGTATAATAGATATTTAAATCCTGCGGTTTGCAAAAGCCGATGCGTTGCGGCTCACAGTACTGTTGAATATCGATATTATTTCGTTTTATTACAGCGTGAGTATGAACGGAAATAGGAATGAGATTATTGGTGACAATGTTACACAGATCGCCCTACAAGCATCATATATTTTTTTATAACAAATTGTTACAAATGTAATTACAAAATTTTATATATATATAAAACATTACAAATATGTGATTATATTGAATTAAATTATATCAAATAAAATTTTTAAGAAGTTTCGAAGTATGTGATTAATTGTTGTTTTTTTACTTAATTTCCTGAATTACATTATTTTGAAAAAAATATGTAACTGATCCTGATTATGTTACAATAGCGAAAAAATTGATTGATAAATAAGAAATTAACTTATTTCGTTATATTTCTACAATATAAAAGTTGTTTGAAATTTCTTAAGCATGTATCAATAGAAGCAGAGAGATTTGAAGAGATCTGTGCAATGTTTGTACGTAGCAAAATATATATTATATTACGTGTACATATACACAGAATATATAGTACTAGCTAGACGCGTTCCATATTCTACATTTACAAAAATTGCTACCGTTCCATAGTTAAACGAGACGATAAACAAATATATAAAGTTGCAGATGGTTACATCATGAAATATATATTGTGTATATACGTTAATATTGATATTTTTAATATTAATATTTTTATTAATATCGTGTAAAAGTACGATGCATATACATATAATAAAAAATTATATCGACTGTTAAAATTTTAAAGAATATTCGAATTCTCTTCGATGTAAGAAATATTTTCGTAACATTATTTTTATCATATAGAGTAATTAAAATTTTTGTTTTATGACTTGTGTATGTACACTTAAGATAACCTAATTAAAGATAAAATGTATATATATTAATGTTGTTATAATGTAAATTTATAAAAAAGCACATAATGAATAATTTGACTTATATGTTTATTGTTGATTTTTTACATTATTGTATATTTAAAAGTAATAGTAATTTTATGTTAAATTATTAGATGTGTAAATATTTAACATGGCTTTTGTAATTATAATGTCACGCTTTGTAACTTGTTCATAAAATTAATCATTATTTTTTGTGACCTATTATTTTTAATGTACAATAGAGATATAATTTTTAAAAACTTTTAAAGATATAGAAAAAGATATGCTTAATAAAAAAATTCTAAATATAACTACAATAATTTAACGTTTACGAAGTATGCTACACTGTATATTGTATATTAATATAATAATATTAATAATATCACAATTAATTTTTAATTTTAATAACATTATGAAGCATCAGCGATGTAATTAATGTATAAGTAGTTCAAACTTACCCGATATAACCTAAACAAATGTTAGAAATAATTCTTTGTGACAATTCACAGTTATTTTTTCTTATCTAACGATGCAAACAACGTACGTACATATACGTACATATAAGAGTCGGGTTTTTTGCTTTTTAAGCGGGTACGCATTTGCGAAGCGCTCGATATTTTTTATCTTACTTCCGATTGATAGATAGTTCAAACGAATGTCGCAAAGGATTTGTCAGCACGAGCGCGATAAGCGTATTCAAAATCTGCATTTTTTTTCTTTTTTCATTCCCTTTTGAGTTTCAGATTCTTCTTTTCATGAAGGGAAACAATAGAACGATATGTCAACGGACTTTCGTCAAATATAACTGACAATTCTACGTTTCAATCGCAATCAAGACCATTTTCTCTCAATTTTCAAAGAAAAATATTTATAAAGGTATTAATATGACTGACTCATGCACTCAAAATTTAAAACTAAAAGATAAATTAGATAAATATTAAAACTCTTTTCTACTCTACACATTCAATTCTATTGTGAGACAATATCATTTCTAAATATTCGCGTATTTATAATACAAATAATAGTTTCATCAGCTT